GGTCAAATGAGACAATAAATTAACAAATCTTCTGGCGATGAACACAAATATCTGCGGCAATGGTGTTGTGGTGTTAGACAGAGCTCTGGGCGTAGTTCTTGGTGTCCACTATTTTGGTGCCACACATGGCACAAATGCCTTTCCTATAGGCGCACGCTATACATGCAAACAGACAATACATTGAATGCATTAAACAATTTATGAGACATCACAGGACTGTGAGTGGAAAGGTAAGGGAAAGGGGTGTATATATGATATCTATGGCTTACATTGACAGTAATGAGAGCCGATTTGATGGACTTTCTGTCTGCATATCTTGCAGGTCTCCATCTTCTGATAGGGAGTGAAGCGACTCTTCTTCGCCGTCAACGCCTTATTCTCATTGATAGCTCGGCCGCCGCTCTCCGTTGTGTTTCTCGCGCCAGACTTCCAGGTGTCCGGAGTTATCACTTTACCTGAAGATTATCATCAAAATAGTCATCCGATTAGACAGACATTCAAATGAAGCAAATCAACAAAATAGTAACAAATATTTACCCAATTTTTTCTGACACTTATCGCAAACCATATCTCAGATTACAGTGAATACATGCCACGAAAACACCACACAATCTATGGTTTGGTTTGTCTTATAATCAAGTCTTCAAATCACGTCAATCTCATCACAAACACAATCTTCACGACAGACAACACATTCACTCAATTGTTTAGAAGTGTGTCATAAATAACGTTATGATTAAACCAAATAAAATAGCCCCCATTCATATGATTTCTATACAAATGAATATAAAATATATATTATTTATGGACTCGTTATTAATGAATGGAAATAAATGTTTACCACAAGAAATGACAAGCATTTGATTGGCTGTGAAATGCAAACATGTTTTGTGTATTGTTTTCAAATGGATTTGTTGTCGAAAGGCGTGAATGCAGTGAATGACAGCTAATTGAGTGACATTTGAGCGATGATTGGCTTCAGTGAGTGAATCGATGGCACACTTCGTATGCATTCAACACTTGACCCCTAATTGAGTGCACTTTGTGTGTGATGTCAGACCAGACAAGTGGTGCGACACATGTGGATGGCATGGATGCACACGTTGTCCACAAATGGCCACAAATGACCGAAATTCCCAGATTTTATGAGAAGGTTTGCCACCAATTGATTGCCAAACCATTTGTCTGATGTCTGTCCACCTTATGGTCAGATCCCTATCAACGAGGACTCATTGGCCGCTCGTGTCCGCGAAGAGGCCCGGTTTGTGACCCTTACCACCAAATGATCGCTTTTTGTTGATTTGCTTGCCTTTCAGAGCAATGTTTTTGCAAAATATGAGCAAAAATGTGATCGAAAACGAAGAACTCCAGGTTTGGATCAGTTTGTTGTCGCTGTCCACCCATTATTCACTAATGTCTTCATTATCTGTGAATTGACAGCAATTATGGGTATTGTTAGAGAAGTCGTGTTCCCAGACGTCAGAGAGTTATGAAAAGCAAAGAATCGATTACTTGGAGTATAAGAGGATCTGCGGATTACTTGATCCCAAGTCTAAAGCAAAGTTTGTCACCGAAATAGTTATCAACTTTTGTGTCATTATTATAACTGTAATACTATTTGGTTTACGAGCAGAGAGTACTTCACGGCATCTGTTTTCGCCAAACTTCAAGACAAGGATCCGAACCAAAAGATATCGATTTTGAATTTCTTTAATTATGTGATGAGGAAAGTGTGGTTAAGACAGACACGCATTGCTCTCTCACTCTATGATATCACTGGTATGTGTCGTCGGCATTGCTCTTAGACTTTGAATCGCGGATTGTATTTGTATTCATGTGTCTAATAACGGATTTGATTGACTCATAGGTCAGGGATTTCTCAAAGAAACGGTTAGTTATTCTTGTGGTTTGAATAGTTGTGACCATTGGTTATAATCGATAGGATTTAGAGAATTATATCCAAGAATTGATTCCAACTTTATCTCAAGTAAGTGTTTCAATGAAGTAATTGATTAGTAGTTAATAATTATATGATTGGATGTAAAGTTGGATTCATTGGACAAAGCCTTCCATCCGTTTTACATCTGTATAGCCGTCCGTAAGTTCTTCTTCTTCTTGGATCCGCACAAACACAACAAAATCAAAATCGTCGACATTTTGGGCTCCGGTTTTCTCGACGACTTACTCGAAGTACTAATCACTGATATGACATCAATATTACCATTTGGTTACCATTTATTGTAAATCCTTTGAACAGCTCAGAGATGAAGACTTGAACAAAACGCGAGAAGAGGCCAATTGGTTCTCCGCCACCAATACACTCCGTCTTTATAGCTCTTACTTACGGTTATATTGCCTTCAGTTCACTGATTAGTTACAAAACATTTATTGCTATAACTGTTGGCATTGATTATGATTTCAGGTTAGATGAGGACCACAACGGAATGCTCTCTAAACCAGAGCTAATGAAGTGAGTGCTGTAATGACAATATTACCGGTAAAAGTATTTTATAATGTTATTAAAACTTTAATTCATTTGATAAAAGGTATGGAAATCTGACCAATTTATTCATTGAACGATTATTTGATGTTTGCATTACTTATGACAAAGAAATTGTGAGTCATTTGAAATGTTTCAGTACAGTAACACGTTTACCATAACATCATATGAATTACTATCGTAATAGGATTTTAAGACTTATGTGGATATAGTGTTGGCTCTAGAAAACCGCAAAGAAGTTCAGTCCATATACTTCTTGTTCTCAATTCTTGATATAAAGAGCAAACGATTTATCGATTCGTTTTGTAAACTAATCACTGATATGACATCAATATTACCATTTGGTTACCATTTATTGTAAATCCTTTGAACAGCTCAGAGATGAAGACTTGAACAAAACGCGAGAAGAGGCCAATTGGTTCTCCGCCACCAATACTCTCCGTCTTTACAGCTCTTACTTACGGTTATATTGCCTTTAGTTCACTGATTAGTTACAAAACATTTATTCCTATAACTGTTGGCATTGATTATGTTTCAGGTTAGATGAGGACCACAACGGAATGCTCTCTAAATCAGAGCTAATGAAGTGAGTGCTGTAATGACAATATTACCGGTAAAAGTATTTTATAATGTTATTAAAACTAATTGATTTGATAAAAGGTATGGAAATCTGACCAATTTATTCATTGAACGATTATTTGATGTTTGCATTACTTATGACAAAGAAATTGTGAGTCATTTGAAATGTTTGAGTGCAGTAACACGTTTACCGTAACATCATATGATTTGCTATATAATAGGATTTTAAGACTTATGTGGATATAGTGTTGGCTCTAGAAAACCGCAAAGAAGTTCAGTCCATATACTTCTTGTTCTCAATTCTTGATATAAAGAGCAAACGATTTATCGATTCGTTTTGTATTAATTACTTCTTTAAGGTTTTAGACAATGAATACAAACTATAATTCACTAAGAATTTCATGTCCAATAATAGGCAATTCAGGAACAAATGAGAATTCAAGGACAGGAACCCCTTAACGTGGATGACGTCTGTAACGAGATCTTCGATATGGTTCGACCGCAAGAGATGGGGAAAATCACTTTCGAAGACCTTATCTCATGGTATTAAACAATTGCATTATTTTAATGTCAGAGTAATTAACTAATCGCACGACTGAATCAGTGGTCAGGCAGAGACTGTGGTCAATATACTGATTGATATAAACGGGTTCTATGCGTATGAGAATCGGGAACAACAGTTAGTGGAAGTGGAGGCACAAGAAGAGGCACACGTGTGAGTCTGATGTGAGGTTTTGTTTATTTGTAAAATTTTAAAACTCATTATTTTTGTGTAAAAATATAACAATTTTATACATAATTTTATCACAAATTCTGGAAGTGTTAATCTGGAATATATTCATAATTAATAAATAGTATATAAAATAAAACATTTTTTCTACAATAAAAAATAATTTGATTAAAAAAACAATTGTTCACAATATTGTAAGACTCGGATTACGGGAACCCTTTTTATTGCCACTATTTTCCCACACGACGACTGTATTGTCACAATAGCCCACATATAAGAGTTGGTTATCATTGGAATACGTTATACTGTTTAACAAACATTAATCAATGGATTATTTTTGAAATTATTTTGTAATTAATAGTAAAATACGAACCAATTTATAGGTATATTGATGTCAGTCTGGAGTTGTCTAACGGGCGCCAAATCCCAAGAACTCCATAATTTGATGGTCCCATCGGTAAAAGCCGTTGCGATTACGTTGACTGACAAACCTTCCGGTGCTGTCGAATAACAGACGGCTGTAATACGTGTATCGGTTACCACTTGTCCCACGAGTTCTCCATTAATAGTGTGGACACATAAAAGAGACTCCATTTCATGGTTCTGATGACTCACTGATATAATATCGCCCAAAGTCTCGCTTATGGCCAGTAATTCAATTACAAACTTATGGTCAGAAAGTGTTCGTACGTAACAAAAGCGACTCAAATCCCAAACCATACAAATGCCGGTCGAGTCGCCCGTCACTGCAATACTGAATGATTTGCTGATTGCTATACAAGTGATTG